ACACACACACACACACACACACACACACATACACACACATACACACACACACACACACACACACACACACGTGTTGCAAGTGTGTTAACGGGAGCCTGCGTCAGGGCTCCGTGAGTTAGCAGCGGGCGGGTTGTCCGTGTGTCGCCCCATCACTCAATGTAGGATGTCCCAGCTGTGACCGGGAATTAACGACCAAACTCTCCTGACGTGGCGCTTTGCCTTGGGCCCGCCTTTTAGCAAACGCGTCCAGGTGAGGCAAAGTCTCTGCGCTTGAAGGGAACGATTTGAGGGTAGTTTTCTTGCTGCCTTAGCATGATGAGCGTATAATTTTTTATATTTTTAATTTTTTTTGTTGCTGTTCTCAAAGTGGGTTTTTTTTTTTGGGGGGGGGGGGGATTCCTCAGCACGGATTTCATCCTTTATACTCTCAGGTTTCTTTTTTTTTTCTCCGTAATAGTTTGTAACCCCGTTTTACTAGCACGTTAACAGAAAGCGATGCTGCATCTTAGGTTTGTTTGGTTTATATTTACAAGTGTCTATGGGACTTGGGATGATCGGTCATGGTGGTCTTCAGGATATTGAATAGCGTAAAATAAATTCTTAAATACATGTACCACGAAAACATAATGTGGTGAGAGCCAAATGACACTTCATAGTTTTGAGAAAAATTTGTGACATAAAATTCGCTTTATAATCAAGACTCCACTAAAACCAACATTGTTTGAAGCCTTAAAAAACTCCAAGTTGTAGATAAACTAGATTTCTAAGTCGTTATCTTCAAGAATGTTTCAACGAGACAAACCCTACGTCCCACGGCAAGTGGCACCCCAACAGAAGACAGAATATGGGAACGACGAGAGTTTTCCGAGACAATGGAACTATTCTCATAACTTTTCAACCTTTGTTTAGACAAGTATATTAACTATATTCGCTTGCGTTCTCCAAAACGGTTCTGTGCCATTTTTCTACTAGTTTACTGGGGACGTCTCAAGAGATGTAATAGCTACTTGTGGTGGTGTTCATACTTAAATAAGGGGGTAAAATCATAGCTTTGTTAAAATAAATCCTGAACTAACATTGACATAATATCTCGTCTGTACAAACGTAGATGGAATATTGAAAGGGTTAAAAGAAATGGTAGTTGTGTCGTTCGCTATTTTTTTTTTTTTCATAGTTTGCAATTTAACTTAAAAATTGTTTTGTTTATTTATGTTTCACGTGTAGGTCTATCGACTCTGTGTCGGGGGGGGGGGGGGGGGTTATTTTGGTGTTTTGTTGAAAGGGAGGGGGGGGGCGAGGTCCGAAAGAGACTAGGGAGTCGGGGGTGGGAGCTGTTTGAAAAATGAAGAGTGTTCACACTTACAGGGAGGAATCGGGTACCATGGTTGTCAATGTCTACTCTAGACTTGACACCTGAAGAAAAAGAACACACATGTAAACATAATATATTATATAATATAATACTTATGTGATATTATATGATATTTAATGTATAGATGTACAAGGCAAGAGGAAGACCAAACAAAAGACCTGGATCCAGGGTGTGAAGGATACTCTGAGAAAATACAATATCCCACCCAGCAAGGCCAGCAAACGTGGAGCTCTTTCTCCCCTCAACGCCCTAGAGGTACAAGAGGACAGATAAAGTAAAGTAAAGTAAAGTAAAGAAAAGAAAAGTAAGATGATATTAAAAGTCTGATTGTAATATATCTTCTAGACGGAACTGAATCCACCTTACGGAAGTAACTTAACCTCAGAATGAACCGTAGAAAAAAAAGAATATCTCATCCTGAGTTAGTTATGACTATTTGTTAGAGAGAGACTCAACCAGATTGCTTTATCTTTTCTGAATTAATAATAATAACAATAATAATAATAATAATAATAATAATAATAATAATAATAATAATAATAATAATAATAATAATAATAATAATAATAACAATAATAATAATAATAATAATAATAATAATAATAATTGCATTTATGTAGCCCATATCCATGCTCAAGAGCATGCTCTATGCGCATGCGCTTTACAACTATTATAATACACTCAATGCTTTAATAGATAAATTTGGTCTCAAAGATTTAAAAAAGGAAAACACTGCATTGATTTGAATGTGCAGCACACAAAACCATATTGAAGAGGGGATTCAAGAAAGTTCAGATTAAGCAACATAATATTATAAAGCACCTTTTTACTTGCTATTAACCATACTTTTCTATCACATCGACCACTCCTCTGAGACCAGAAAACGCATGAATCCTTCCAGCAAGCTCCGTGCCCCACACCATTGATGAAATGCAGTTGATCCTTGTAGTCGGAAAACGAGGATTTGTGATGTCACGAGTACGGACAAAATGGCTGCTAGTCCGGACAAAGTTTTTTTATTCGTGCTATTCGGAAGCAACAGGCTGTGTCCCATCAGAGAAGCCGCAGCCCCAAGCGGACCGTTACCACCACCTTATACGACCCGTTGCTGTCATTCATTGGTCGGTCCTGCCTTCTCTCTCTTATCGCTGGGATGCTACTGCTGTGTGTTGGCTGATGCAGCCGCGGAAGTGACACAGAACGGCCCACAGCTCGGAGTGTACACAGGATTCTGTCTTCTTATTTCTAGCGTGGGCAAAAGTTTGTGGACAGTTCGTGGGTGAGAGAGAGTGTGGGAAAAACTGATTGATCTAGTCACCTAGAAAGTTCGTACGGACTTAAGATTTTGCCACCTTCTCAAAGTTTGTTTCTGTTTCTGCATGCTGCAAACCATCAACAACATTTCAGTGGTTTCGCTCTCACAAGTAAGTCCAAGTGTTTGAAGCATAAACTTTTCTTCTCCAGTTCTCCAGTTTCTTTTCTTTTTGGACACAAAATCCTTGGACTTTTCACAACAACTTAGTGCCACTCTCCAATTCTCTTCTTTTTTCCTTAATTTTTTTTTTTCCTAAATGATTTCGGATAGCCTTGAAAAGAAGACAGAGAGATGCGACACAGTATAGTGAAGGGGAAAATATGATAGCCCTGATGCTTAAGACGCTCCTCAGCTTATCGTGTTGGGAAGGCCATCGAGTATCACGCAGCGTGAACGCCCAACTTTCCATATGGTTAACTGGTCGGAGACTATTTAGAGAGAAACTTTATTGGGTTCGTTTGTCGAGACGTTTATCCTGTTGATTTTTGGGTTTTTGGAAAAATTATCGGAAAAGTTTATCCACGAATTTTCCAGATTTAGATTTTTATGTTCCCGTGGTTTTAGTTGTCTTGTTTTTTTTTTTAAATGTCGTACAAATATGAATTTCATTGACAAGCAATCTATCTGGAAAGAAGTTTATCTGAAAATTTAGTGTCTTTATCTGTGTTAGTGAATTGCGGCTGCTCACTTTGGGAATGTCATGATTGCTCCATTAGATTCAACTCTGGGTATATTGTTGGGTTGTTGTCTTTTTTTATTGTTGGTAGATTGATTGTTTTTTGTGTTGTTTTTTTTAGGGGGTGGTTTGAGTTTTGTTGTTGTTGGGGTTTTTTTTTGGGGGGAGGGGTTGTTGTTGCTTTTTTAAAAATTGAACCCTCGTCTTTTTATCGGTACCCTTAGTTTTCAGCGTTCTTCAATATCTTACCTTGGTTCCTCGTTCTCGCATGACTTACAACATAACAGTCTCGTCGCGCTTGCTCAAGGTATTGAAAGAGTTAAAAGGACAATGGTTAACTCGCACGGTGTTTCTTCTATATTTGGTCCTGACTTTAATAACCGACAGCAAATTGTGAAACGCGCTACTCCAGACTGTTATTTCGAATTCGTTTTTGTATGCCACACATGCATACTTGACGCTTGTACATGTTGTAGACTTTAATACATGTACATTTTTAAATAAAGAATACGCTTTGTCCACTTATTGACAAGTGGTGAGGAAGCTCGAAAGCTTGTTTGTCGTTCCCTTTCTCACGTACGAAAACCCTCCAGGTTGGGTCAGCCTCTGTGTTTAGTTTTTTGTTTTGTTTGTTTTTGTTTTCTTTTCCGCCCTTGCTTGCTGCACAAATAGGCCATACTATAAGTGCCAAAGATCAGAGGTGTTACTAGCAGAGAATAAGATACAAAAATAGGAAGAAAGACAGGTGCTTGATAGAAAAGAAAGAGCAAACCACTCCAAAGCACACGCCAACCGCCCACTAGCATTTGTGTATCTCTTGACGGGTAGGCCTAGTACTAACAGTGGAAACAGGTAGTCAGCCCTCCTTGGTCGGTGGTGTACAAGCCAATTCCAATGTAAAGGTATAGAAGGGGAGTGCTTGCTACTAAGCAATAAACTTGGAAGAGTTGTTTCGTGTTTTTCTCATGCGGTCCGCCCGTTAGTTGCAAACGTGGTTTTGTTCAGCACAATTTTCAGTTTTACGCTCCCAACACGCTATCCGATTCATCAGATGGTGGGTTCGATTCTTGGGTAATAGTCAACTACAGACACCCCCCCCCCCCCGCCCCAATTCTTAGAATTAACTGAAATCTCCTTCGAGCTTAACATCACGGTTGCCACCAAGTTGCCCCCAAAAGAGAGAGGAGACCTCCAAACGTATGTGCGAGTAGTAGGTCAAGTAAGTTACGAATGGAGGGATATTTTAGACCTTTACTGGTTCTCGAAGAATCTTTTTAAACATACATATAATGAAAAATGAGATCGTTGCTGTACCAACTATGCGGAACACCTTGATTCATCTAAATGTTAGTGTGATGGAGGAAGAAAATGGTACGAAGTGGAATGAGGGGTGAATTCAAATATTACCGTACTAATTGTCACACGTTGAATTTCCAACAAAGCCTTACCAAACGCTTTCCTCTCATCAAAGTCATAATCGCCGGTTGATTGAAAGCCGTAACAGAAACCTGACTCTTTGAGTCATTTTTATGGACTGGGTTCTCCAGACCTCTGCCTCGGAAATCGTTTCGCTACAGTGATTCGTAATGCTGTGACAAGAATAGTGACAATAGCCCAGCGTAACCGAACATCGAGCGCTTGGCATGTATCGTGGTCTTTCTGTCTTGGCCTACCCCTTTACGTTGACATTTTAAAAGCGAAAACCGCAAATTATGTACTCAATGACATTGGACCTGTGGGTGGTTGGCGGGTACTCTGGTGTGGTTTGCTCATTCTTTCCTGTCAAATATGTATTGTTCTTATTTGTCCTCCTTCTTTAGTTTGTAAGTTTTTCTCTAGTAACACCTTTAATCTGCGGCACTTATACGACCTATCTGTGTTTTAAGTGACGTAAAATGCTTGTTAAAAACTAAAACCCTGGATCTGAAACAATTGCGAGACAAAAAAGATCGCGTCAAGGAGAATGTTTACATTTACAATTGACTTCACGAAGCGTCACCTGTACACCAGTGATCGATGTCACAGTATGTGTAATGTGTTAAATTATCATTCCTTCCTTATTTTGTTTACTTGAATTTCAAACTAAAACCTTCTACATCTCGTAACGACATGCTGTAGCGATATTTGACGAGCTTTAGTGGAGACGAACCGGACTCCTATGATCACCACAGTTTGACGATAGGTAGGGGTAGGTTTGAGAGGAGGTTTTGTGTCAATGATACAACCATGTAAATTATCTATC